TCCACACTCGAGCCGACCAGGAACAGAGGAGTCTCTTAATCCCACGTATTCCTTCCCGGGGGACTGAAAAGCAGGGCCTGGCTGCGGTCCGCGTTTCTCCCCATCCGACGGAACGCCCTGGAACTGGGGTACGGTCTTTTGGAGGTACGTGGAAGGTCCCTCGTGCTCAGTCGGCTGTGGAAGCTTGGGAGGCCAGGGGGCTGCTGGCACCCCGCTTGGAGGGGGTTCGCTGGCACGTGCGTGGCCTCGGGAGCCACCAGCGGGGACGGAGCCTGGGCGTGGGACAGCGCCTGCTGAGACTTGGTGAGCACCTGGAAGAGGTGCTGCTGCACCTGCAGCGGCTCCGGGCACGCAGCAAACTCCCGGGATTTCGGGAAGCGCTGCTTGGTCTCGCTCTGCAGCCCGTCGTCCTTCTGAACCTCTGGAAAACTCAACTCCCCGGCGCTCTCCCGCAGGTGGGAGTCACGGGTTTTCGACGACCAAAAGGCTTCCTCAAAACAACCGAGGGCCGACTCGCTCGGCACATCCTCTTCGGCTTTAAAAGGTGCAACGGGGACAGGCAAAGCATCCGGACACGCGTATGCAGCTGAGAACATGCAAGAAGGTCCAGCTAAGCCCTCTGGAACACCCTGCGCCGCGACGGGCGGCTTGTGAGCAAAGCAGACGCTGTTCCTTTGGGGTTTAGCACAAACCGGCACGCTTCTTATCCGCTGAAAGCCACTGCTCGGCTGGTTTGCAGGCGGCTTCTGCCCTCTGAACGCAGGAAAACAAGGCAGGGCACTGTTGGGACAACACTGCAGTCCTGCAGGCTCCGAGGAGAGCTGGTCTTCTGAAATAAAAGACCTACTGGTCAAATTGGCAACTACGTTCTCGCCCGGCGCAATCACAGACACGTTGTCGGGATTTACTATGGCGCAGATGTTGGACGGAGCGGCACTCTTTCGGCAAGAGAGGCGATCCTTCGATATATTGTCTCCTGCAGCCTCCGAAAGCCCGCTGCTGTTAGATGCAAGGCAAGAGGCCTGGCTTGCTGGGGAGGAATCGGTCAAGGCAGCGCCGGCGTGCTCTGCGGAGGGCGAGACAGCCGAGGGAAGCTTCTGATCGGCAAAGCTGCTCACAACGCACCTCAGCAGGTCTTTCTTGGGCCAGCAAGAGCCTGGCGCTGAGCGCGCAGTCCGTCTGTCCACCCATTTCCCACCGCCTTGGATACAGGGACCGGGAAGAAGCGGGGATTCCTCCCTGGCACTTTCCTTCGGAGCCTCCTTCAAGCCGCTCAAGCTGTGCTGCAGTTCGTAATGCCGGCGCAGCGAACGGTGATCGCAGTAACTCTTATCGCAGTCTCGTTCCGGGCACACGAAAGGCTTTATTTGCTGATGCGTCAACATGTGCCCGCTCCTGCGGTATTAAGAGAAGAAAACATCGCATATTAGCATTTCCAAGGGAAAAAGGAAGACATTTTGCACCTGCAGCTCTCGCGCTCCTTTTATTTAGTACAGTTCTGCTCAAGGCAGAGACGCTGCACAGGACATAAAGCAGGGTCTGGCCTCTATTCAGAAGAGCCTCACTAAAAGCGCCCTCCCACCGCTTTTCCCACCGGGACGCAGAACGATCCTGCTCGCTGGATCACCGTCGCTGGCGTCTCTCCAGAAACACAACTCAAAAGGGATCCCAAATTCTCCCCAAATCCAGGAGGATCTCTCCAGCCCGCCAGCCCCGCCGTGCTCAGCGAGGGCGAAGCAAATCAGAACGCAAGTCAAGAGGGATCTCAGCCCAAATTCTACCTGCGAGCGCGCGCAGCGGTGCCAGTCAGCACCAGCTAAAGGCTGCTTGCGATCCTCTCGTTTTAGGGTAGAAAACGGTAGCGTAGAAATCGGTAGAGAGACAGAAAAAAGTTAGGCAGGTACGTTACCTAAACCAACGGGGAACTGACTGTAAAATTGCAGACTGTCACTTCATAAAGGCACATTTTAGGACAGAAAAGGTTTGTCGGCAACCACGCCGGTCTGACGCAAAGCAAAACGGTGTTTTACTTAGCCCCGGACTACCACCGCCAAAAACCGGACCTACGATCACCTGCTGGTGTTGCAAGAGCTTTTCAGAATTAGTAATAAAAGCTTTACAGCACTGGGAAGTGTAGGACTCCGGGCAGCGGTTGCAACGGTAAGCGATCTTTTGCAACAGTTCCTAACACAGCGGCTGCCAAAAATCAGAAGTCGACTCTCCAGTGCAAACACCTTCCACGCTATCTCCCCCACACCAGTCATCAAACAGGGTAAAAGGAAAGAAAAAAAAAAAAAGGAAAAAAAAAAAAAAGACTAGTTCCTATTGTAGGGCTCAGTATTACAGATTTTTCTGCAGCTGGACAGAAATACACACTTTTGAGGCTTTTCCTGCACCAGCCCGCTCTGGAAAATTCAAAGCTGATTTGCATCTGCTAGGGACGCCGTTTTGTAACCTAACTTCACAGCGTTCGCTAGTCTGAAAACACGACAATGACAAGCGCGGTAACTCCCGAAATCTGAAAATAAAGCACCGCAGAAGCCAATCTTATTTACATTTGGTAAACGAGGCTGCAGCAACCCTACGCGTTTTTAACGGCGAACGCCTACGTACAGGTGGTCCGGCCGTTTGAAGGCCTTGCTGCAGACGGTGCAGACGTGCTCCCGTTTCTGGCTGTGAGTCAGGCAGTGTTTGCTGAGAGCGCTGGCACTGCCGAACACCTTCCCGCAGCGGCTGCAGCCCGGCAGCGAGGTCCGAGAGCCGAGGGGACGCTTTCTTCTGCCCGCAGACGGGGCCCGCCGGCATGGGAAGCCCCAGCTCTGAAGGGAGGGAGAAAGCGATATCCGCAGGTTACTCTTGCCATGCCACGTTTCTCGCTTTAGCGCTCATCAAAACGTTTTTATAACGTTCCTGTTGGAGGGCTCCGGCCCGTGGGTTGCGACGGCCAAATAACCTGCACGAAAACGAGCACGAAAGCCCCACGGAGCCGCTCCACCTCGCGCGGTTCGCAGCTCTGGGGCGGCGTTTCCGAGGTCTCCGCAAACACCGAAACCCACGTCCCACCCTCACGCAAGTTACAGCCTTTGCCATTTTGAACCCCGCTGTAACGAATTTGGCCATTTTCCCCTCTTTCTTGGGAAAAGGGGGAGGAAACGAGGCCACTCCCACCTGCCTCGTTAGGGTATTTTATCTACAGCAGGCTGACTAGGTGATAACCCGGGCACTTCCCGCTGGATTGGACTTTGGGAGGCAATCCAAGGCTCCCCACCCACGAGTAAGGACTGAGCCGTTACGAGCTGTTATGAATTGGCAAATCCGTAGAAACACAGGCCCCAATTGTTAGGCGAAAGTCTCATTTTCTCACTCGAGCGCTGCTAGTCACAGCTTTTCCTTTGGTTTGTTTTCAAGCCACCCAAACAGGGCACGCTTTTACACA